CTGCCCATTTTGAGTTACAGGAGCTTAATTTGGGCTTCAATCTCATGAGGCACACAGCTCCGGAAGCCCTGGCTTCCTACCATAGCCTGAAGGGTTTGGGTCTTAAGAGTGGTTTAAGCGGGTTTAATGCCATCTAACTAGGTTTCCTGGCTGCCACGCCCAGGCTTTGGAGACTGAACCCGAGTGGCAACCAATGGTGGGTGCCATGCTGTGCACGAATGAAACAGGACCCTGGAAATGTCCAAAAATTGGATTCATACCCCACCCCTAGCCGCTTTCTCCTGGGAAGCTGCTACTTCAGGGAAGCTGGCTGATTGTCTAGTGGGCCAAATATTCCAGGGCCTAAGGAGGTGGGAGATACCAGACTTGGCCAGAATTCACTGGCAGCCCCAAGCCAGGGCTGGTTGGCTCCCCTGGGCACACTGATCCCCCTAAACCTGCTTGATACCCTCATGGTGCTGAGCCTGGCCTTGGACTTCCAGGGCCCAGAGAGTTTGCACATCTTGCGATCATAGTTCCCCTCTGGTTCTCCTTGGGTAGAGTTGTCCCTGCCCAAGAGGCTGACCAGCTTGGAGCACTGTGTGGTCCCAGATAGGAAGTTTTCAAAGCTGGCTTCTCTTGTCTTTTCACTCTTGCAAACCCTGATTCTCAAAGGCGAGGCACTGCAGCTAGGGACCCGGAATGTCGTCAAGATCTTCCCCACCCTTGGCCAACTCTCTCTGCTTGGCCATACTTGAAGGCCCTGTGCTCCCCGGGTTCCTCTAATTTCTTCCTCTGGCAGCTCGCCAGGCTCCAGTATCTGTGGTCTGGGTGGATTGGCACAGCCCGGGGTCTGCTGCATCATGGGGCTGCCCAGTCTATGGGAGCTGAAGCTGCCGGCCCTGGCGTCCTGAGTCTGGCCCTTCCCAGGGTGGCTTGAGGAGTTGGTAGGTGAGGTACCCAGGCTTGAGCTACTGCGTCTGGTCAAAGTGGGGCTGGACAGAGACACTGTTGCTGCTTTCCAGAATCCGGGCATTCTCCAGGTCTGGTGCTGGGCTGAGAGAAAGGCCTCGTGCTGGATGGCAACCTCCAAGAGCACAGTCCTCAGATACCCCAGTATGTATATATTCTGGGTGCTTCCTTGGCCTGCCCGTGTGCCAGTGCCTGGTGGGACCCTGGCTTGAGTGGATCCCCCAGAACATGCGTGCATATTGTATTACACCAGCTGTGCTGGCCAGAACCTGGGGGCCACCCCCCCCAAAATCCCCTTTTCTCCTTTCTCTGGAGCCACTGTCCTAAAACTTTGGGGTTGGAACTCTTTTGGGGTCGCTCTGCCTGCAGCTTCTGCTGATCTCTTAGCTCCTCCTACACGAAGCCAGAATGTCCTAGATTCTCCATCTCCAGCCTTGTTCAGGGCCTGGCTGGCGGGTCCAGGGGTTGGAAGGGTGAGGGTAAGTGGTTCCTCTATATTGTGTTTGCATCCCAGCAAAACCAGGGTTGCGTGTCCAAGAGGGATGGTGAGACGGGAAAGGATGTGATTGACAATGTGGCTGATAACATGGCAAGCAGCCCTGCCCCACTGCGTGCTGAGTTACCAGCTCCTGCATACCCCACGTGGCCTCTTGGAGCGTCACCTGGTTACCTTCCTCCAGCTGGCAGCTCCCCCACACCCCAGTGCTGCTGCTGGTCTTCCTGGAGCCTGTCTCCCACCACCACTTCCCTGGCTACTGTGGACTGGCCTGGCAGCTCTGCAGAGGGGACTTTTGTGTGTGGCCCAGGGAGGATGAAAGGAGGGAAGGCTTCTGTGCTTGGCTGGGGAGTAGTCTAGGGCAGCCTGGGTTGGGCTAGAGTGGGTGTGTGTATATTGGAGGAGGGGATAGGAAAAGCAAGCCAGCCTGGCAGGGAGATAGTGGGTATGGGTGGGTGCATGAGACTGAACCCAGCTTCTGGTGGGAGGTGGGGGTGCTGCATGTGTTGGGAGGATCAGCTGGTGATTTTGGGAACACAGGCTTTGGGAAGGCTCTGGATGAGCCTTGGAATGAGAAAATTGGGAGCTGGCAGGTGGCCGTGCGGTATGTGATGTGATCTCAAGATCTCCAAATCCTTAGCAAATTTACTAAATCCATGAAATGCTTGACTTAATTGGACTTTTTGTTTTTGGTGGAAATCCATACGAGGGATGAGGCAAAGGGGCTGTGGTCATGGAAACTGTAGCTCAGAGGAAATAAAGTTGGAAATTCATGGAGGCTTTAGGGAAGGATGGAGGGCTGTGAGTAGTGCTCAGCTGTGGAATGGAGTCTAGGCCAAGTTCAATCAGATCTTCAAGGGGTAGAGGGGCCCCTTTTGCCATCTGGGTATAGAGGAATTGGCAGCTGAGGACTGAGAAACTGGGATGCTGCCCAGGAGGGAGCAGACTGATTGCCTGTTCCCTCAGCAAAGACACAAAGGCATGGTCATACCTATGGTCTTATTTGAGGCCCAGTACAACACTGGGAGGGGAAATCCACCCCCTTGGCACTCAGTGTCCAGCAATGCTGAACTACTTGGAGCTCCCAGAACACCATGAGCTCTTGCTCCTGGGCCTTTGCGTGCACTGCTCCTTCTCAAAGTAGTGATCACACTGTACTCATCTGCACAGGTCTGGGGCCCCTCAAGCACTGGTCTTCAAAGAGGTGTGCAGAAGATAACTCACAGGGGTTAAGAAAAAAAAATGTTAAGACTTATATTTCTGTTTTTCAATCTCATTTTAGTCTGAAGTTGGATTGTCTGCTTTTTAGCCATATGGTTTTATGTTACTTAACCTCTGTTCCTCAGTTTCTTCTTCTGTAATATGGGATGGTATCACACTCTTGCTCATAGGGTTTTGAGGGTAAAGTGAATTAATATGCATACAGCACTGGGAGCAGGACAGCAATGCATTATAAGTGTTCAATAAAGGTAAGCTTTCTGTGTAATTACATATTACTACATGTATGTGTATCATTTATAAGTAAATAAATACATATATGCTGGGAGTGTGTGTTCAAAACTATTTTACTAATAGGAAGCATTACTAATTTACTAATAGGAATTCAATCTGGAAGGTTTGAAGGTCAGGTCCTGGGGACAAGAACCAGTCTGATTCATCTCTGCATCCTTAGAGCCTAGTGCTGGCCCAGTACAAAGGGGTCTTGTAGACAAGGGTGGTGAGAAAAAAATCTTGGTGGATGGTGATGCCATGAACTGGGGTCTGGTTCAGGCTGTTGATTATTTCTATGTGAACCTGGGCAGGGCACGTGGCCTCTTAGAGCCTTAGTGTTCTTCTTCTGTAAAATGCCAGGTTTTAATTAGAAAAAAAGCTAATGGAAACTATCAAGCAATTCTGGGCTGGATTTAGGGTGAGGGGCGCCCTCTTGTGTTGTAATGCTGTTTTTCTCTCAGTGTACAACCTCACCACAGGCCTTTCTCCCCTCAGATGGTCCTGAAGTGGCCATCTTCTGAACCACAGATCTGCCCTTCCAGCTTCAGATCCTGATGCTCTCTCAAATGTCTGATACACGGCCTCTCTTTCTCTACTTAACCCCCACCCGACTCCAACAATGGTCTTTTCCCGATGCAGTGTGGAGCCCAGAAGAAACCTTTGGAGTCAAGGCCAGCAGTTCAAAGTCCAGCCTGACACTTACCATGTGATCTTGAGCAAGTCACTTCATCCGTGTAAGCCCCCATTTCCTCCTTGTAATAGTACCAGCCTCATGGGGCGGTTGTAAGACTTCAACAGAAAGGAGTGGTATAGAGGTCACCATTAGGTTCACTGAGCACAGTCATGTGAGTTCTCAGCGATGAATAAGTTGGAACATGTTTCACTTTGAACATGAGGAGGAACTGGGCCTTTAAAACTAAAATATAGAATTCCCCTAACATGAGCTGAGCACTTGCCATATTGCTAGGTACTATTACTTTTCCCAAAGTCTCGTACCCATTAGTAAAAATAATAATAGCTAATGATTATTAAACTCCTTCTGACCAGCATGTGCCAAGTCCTTCACAAACTTTCCCCCATTTATTACTCTCACAAACGATTAGGTAGATGCCGTTATGATAATTCCCATTTTACAAACAAGGAAACTGAAGCACAAAGCAGTTGAGTCATTTGCCCAAGGTTTTACAACTAGTGAGTAGCAAAGCCTACAACCTGCATTTGAAAGACGTTTCAGATGCAAGCAGCTTGATTCTAGAGACCTTGCTTTACCTGCATTACTCAATTTCATCTTCACAACAGCCTGCGATGTATTTTACAGATACATAACACAAAAGACACGCGGCAATACGTTCGAGGCCACACAGTTGGGCTGGGATTTGGAGCCATGCCTGACTGCAAAACCCACGTGTTCAACCCCATATTAGACTGCTCATATCACGAAGTATTCATAAGGGTACAAAGCAACTGCATTTATATTGAAATTATTCTGATTATCATTATTCAAATAATGACTAACATTTTTTCCAACACCCACGAAGTGCCAAGCTCTGTCCTGATTTACATAATAATAGCTAACATTCGCTGTGTATTATTAGGACCCGGGCCCTGGTTTAATTGTCTTAGTTGTATTATCTCATGGAAACCTCACAAAAACCCGGCGAACGGATGCTATTATCCTCACTTTACAGGTGAAGAACGCGAGGCTCACCACCGAGCCAAAATCACGTGGCTTAACTGTGAGCTGGAAATTGATCCTACAATTGCCCAACTCTCTCCGGTCTACCGGTCACTCTCTCTCTTTACTTCTCCCAGTTTCTCCTGTGACCTCTCCCGGCCCCCAGCTCCCGTATTTTATCTGCAGCAGGCCACGCCCCTTCGCCTTGAGTGTCCGCCCACTGGGCGGTGCCAAGATCTCGGAGCCTGTGGAAAGGACTGGAGTCGTTACAGGCTCCGCCCCCACGAATAGACCCTTTTCCGATTTGTTCCGGCGCTCGCGCGGTTCCTTCTGGGAGTTGTAGTCTCTGACGCTCCATTCCCGTGGCGCGGTTCGGACTCCGCGTCCCAGCGTTCCGTGCGCGAAGCCTGGAGCACTTCCGCCCTGTTGTGAAGTGGGTGTCTCGGTGGGTGAGTCCGGGTGGCGGGGCGGGGGCAGCCGAGACTCAGGCTCTGGGTTGGAGGCTTAGGTGGTGGTGGTGTCCCAGGGGGCCAGGGAAGGTGAGAAGGGAGAAAGAAGCTTTTCTGTGGGGGTGGGGGTGAGGGGCGGCCAGAGGATGAAGCGTCCGGAGATGGGAAGGGTCACAGAGGGGTCGGGGATGAGCGGGGATGTAGAAGGCCTGGGGAGTGAGGAGGGTCGTAGAAAGGTCTCTAGGTGAGGAGACCGAGAGAGGTTCTGGAGGTGGGAGAGTCCTAGAAGGGTCTGGAGACCACAGAGGGAGGGATAGAGGGTTCTCAGGCCCTGGCAAGAAGTGAAGAGAAAAGGGCCTGGGCTTGAAGCCCGACCTTAGAAAAATAGTGCTCCAGCCTCTACTGACCGCCTCGACAAACATAGCAGATTTGATACCACCTTACACTTCCTCTAACGGTTGTGACGTCTGGCACGCAGCAGGTGGGACTGGCTATTGTGTTTGGCCCCAAGCCAGCGCCCCCTTTCCTTCCACCTAATGGAAGTGAGTGGCACCGTCGTCCACTTTAGCCGGGCACCCTCTGATTCCTTTTGCGTTCTTCCACATCCAGGATCTTCAGATCCCTCTTGTTTCCTTAATGTGTCCTGAATCTGCCCCTTTCTGGTCAGGGTTTTTGCGGAAGCCTCCCACCTCTTCACCTCCCCAGCCTGGACTGACACGTTGTAGTAGCGTCATCTGTTTAACCTACAAATCTGGTTGTGCCCTCTGCTTAAAAACCTTCTTGACTTCCATTGCCTGTAGAATTAAGTCCAGACACCTAGCCTGATAGTGAAGACTTCATGAACTCTCTGCAGCCTCATCCCAGGCACCCCATGCTCCAGGACTGTTTGATTTTCCCCATCTCTTGGAGAGGCTGTTTGGTTTTCCACCTTATGTGTGCTGTTCTCTCAGCTTAGAGAACACTTTCTCACCCCATTGTCTGCCAAGAGAACCGTCCTTCCAGGAGCCAACTTGAATGTTACTTTGTTCTCTTCCTTTAAACAGATTAAGTTACCCCCTCAACCCCAGTTCCCATAGATCTCTTTTACTGTATTTACCACATTCGATCATAATTATCTGTGACTTTTTTTTTTTTTTTTTCCTTCCTGTTTCCTCCACTTGAACGTAAGCATCTCCAGGACAGGGACAGTTTCCTAGTCCCCTCCATTTCCTCATTGTCCAGCCCAGGGTCATAAATACTTGATGTAAATCCAGTAAATCAGTAAACACTTGACTACTTGATGCATGTGTAATAATGACAGTCTAGGGTGAGCTTTGCTATACCAGTCTTGAAGTGTGCTACTTCCAGTGGATTTCTAGGGCATGAGCTTTTTGTCTTCTCCTGCTGGGCGCTGATTCATTACCTATGGGAGTTTAAGCCAGGGGTGGCAAATATGTAGAATGCTGCCCCTTCTTCCTGTGTCTGGTGGTCATAGCTAATTGGTGACAACACATAGTGACACGGGTTTCAGAGTCCTTAATGCAGTTGACTGAAATTGGTGCTTTATGTGAAGCCCATTTCCTCTCCCTGGTTTAAGCCCTTAAATATGAGGTCAAGTTACTTTAAGCAGTAGCCTGGACCATCAGCCCAGTAAGCTTGACAGCCTTTGGGGACTCCTGGTTTCTTCTTTGGAGGTCACAGACCAGTCTTGGCTTTTGCTATGGGATTGGGGCAGATCCCTTACCAACCTACTGTTCAGTGGGTGTGTTCCTTATGTCCACATCCACACTCAACACCCGAGGAGCCAGGATGCTCCTCAGCTTCCCTGTGTTTGTAAAGGGATCCTGCCCCAGTCAACACTGATCCCTCATTGCTTAGGGAGAATCTGTACCCTTTCTAGATCTTCTGGGATATTGGAAGAGACCTTTGAGATCATTTAGCTAAAAGATGGTAAAGTGACGACAGCCCATGCTGAAAGAAGCCTATCATCATCCTCTATTTAGTCCTGGTGTTTCAAACAGTTTTGAGTTGGTTGCCAATATTTAAAAATCCAGAGTTAGCTTCTCTTGGAAAAAATAGAAGGCCTGGGAACTGGGCCAGTTTTCTCTCTACTGCTCCGTAGTTAGCGATAGCCCCCGCTCTACTCATGTACCCATTTACATTGCCTGGCCCCTGTAGCCATTTAAATGTGTAGCCGCTGATTCTAGTCTTCCTGTCCCTTCGCTCTGCTCCCATCATACTAATTGGGGGCAGACACTGAGGAGGGTCAAGCTGTAAGCTGCAGAGGCCACATGACCTGTCCAAAGTCACACAGCTAATAATGGCAGGAGTGGAACTGGAACCCTGATTTGCTCCCTCCTACCTTAATGTTTTTTCTACTCTCGTACCATCTTCTCAGGAGCTTGGATGATTGGCATACCTAGAGGATACTGGATGGTGCAGTTAAGAAAAATGAGTGGAAAGAATGAATCTTGGCTGAGTCCCAACTCTGCCGCTTGCTAGTTGTGTGACCTTAAGTGAGTCTTCTTCATAGAAGCTCAGTTCCCTATATGTAAGTTGAGGATATGGACTCAAACGTTACAGGATAATTATATCCTAAAGGCAGCACTGAAGGTGGAAATCACATTTAGCCAGAAATCACAGTCAGCTTGAAAATCCTCTGGCAAGGAGCCATTTAGAAACCAACACACTGTCTTTCAATAAGCTAACCAGCACAGCTGGGTTTCCTTGTTTGAATGTCAGATGAAAGAGTTGGCCTGTGTTTGGGGACCCTGCTGGATGAAACACACTTTGCTCACACCCTGGAAAGGAAGGCTGGAGGGAACTCAGACCAGCCTGGGATCCCTGAAGGTCATGCTCATTCTGAAACAGACACCTAGTGAATGGAACTGACTGGATGGAACTGAGCACCGTTTAGATTATGGGCTTTCTCTTCCTGGTGTTGGCATGCGGTTTCCTATGTGTAAGTTACAGATCGCTGTAGTACAGTCACACACCAATGACACCACACTTACTTGCCTGGAGGATTCGGTGAGATTGTGAAGGTGGAACTCTTGGCAGCCCGCTCATGCCTCATGGGCACTGGGTAGATGGGTTCTCTCTGAGGTTGCTGATCCCAGCGTGGCCCGGATCCTCCTGGTCGTCTTAGGACTATTGAATGCCCTTGTCTGTTTTTCCCGTCAGCTCTGTGTAAAGTCACCCTGCTATTCACTGACTGCATTGACCTCCCTCTGTGGATAGGCCGCTAGTCATTGTCTGTCTAAGAGAGTAGCAGAAATAGCTTTCAGATTTGTATTTGAAGCTAGCCTTTGGGACTTTCCAGTCTTTCCCAAAGAAAATCCCTGTTACCTGCTACCCCGGGCTTTGGGCCTGGCAGAACTACTAATTGCCGAATTTGTGGTAATGTTCTCTCGGTGCAGGAGCACAGACGTCTTTGCTTGCTTATTGACTGTCTCTCTCATGAGAGTGTAACTTTTATGGAGGTAGAGACCATCTGTCCCAATTACTGCTGGCTCTCCAGCGACCAGTACAGTGCAGGTACATAGTAGGACTCTGTAAATGACTGGTGGTGAATGAGTCCTTGTGTGAGAGAGTGACACAAATGGTTTTGGACTAGTGCATGATTAAGGCTGTGGTTCAAAAAGGAAATTTCATGAAAAGTCAATTCTTTAGCTTAATATAAATGATGGCCCTTCCATAGCCCGTTAGGCTTTCGATGTACCAGATTTACTATTTTAATAAAAGGCAACAAAACTTGCTAATGACCCTGCCGTTTATCAGGCACTGTGGATACAGAAATGGGTAAGATGGAGTGCTGGCCCTGATACAGTCCAGTGGGGCTGTCAGAGGGCAGAACAGGGAACTACAAGGCTGTAGAAGAACACCTATGTCAGAGGCCTGTGCCAACTGCTTTGGGAACGGGCGTGGGGAGATGATTCTGGGAGCTGAAGGACAAAGAGGAACTTGCCAGGTGCTCATGAGTTGTGTTCCTAGCGTCCTTGTGTATGTGTAGGTCTTCAGGACAGGTCTTTACTTTGCATCACCCTTGCCTTGTTTCTGGACAGTCCAGTCAGATGGCCTAAAATCTATGTACGACTCCTGCCATTCTCAGCTCAGCTGACTCATTCTCACTGGGGGGTAGCTGAGAGCCTCCTTTGAGTGGGTGTTTTTAGTGTCATGTGGATTTGTTGGGAATGACACAAAGAGCTAATTTTTCCAGATAAGCCAGCATGAGTGTCGTCAGCATCTTCATTGTGTAGAAGAAGCAACCCCAGATGTCCCCTCCACAAGCATTTCCTGAGAGCCTCCTGGGTGTTGTGTGCCCCACTTATCGCGGGGGTGGGGGAGGGAAGGGGCAAACCGTATTTGTTGTCCTCAGGCTGTCGTCTCTCTGTGGCCACACATACACTCACCTCTGTAATACAATATGGAATGTGGCCCGTGTGACCTTGATGAAAAAAAGAGGAGAGGAGAAGTCCTTCTGGCATGAGCACGAAGGTCATTTAAAAAAAATCTAGTGTGTGCAGAAGGGGATTAATTATAACCCCTGCTTCATGACACGTCACCAGTGTGCACTGACCATTGTCTCACCGTTTATTGAGTGCTTCCTGTGTGCCCTGAGCACTGTGCTAGGAAGCTTATGATCTCGTGGGTAAGAGAACTATGGGGAAAATGTAGGTGGTGTGGAAGCTGGTGGCACAGGAAGGACTGAATCTTGTTTCAGGGCATAGGGAGGGCCTCTTGGAAACAGTACAGTAGAAGTTGAGACCTAGCTAGGTGAAGAAAGGGAGAATACTTCCCAAAGAAAGCGGCTGGTTGCCCGTGGGAGGGTTCAGCGGGCAGGAAGCCGTGCGGCTGGAATGCCCTGAGCAGCGGGAATGTGGCAAAAAGATCATCTTTTTGAGGTGCGGACGTGGGCAAGGTTCGCACTTGATCCTCAGGGATGTGGGAGGTCACTCGAGGGTGTTTAGCAGGAAGTGACCCGGTAAAACTGGGAGCTGGTCTGGTTGTGGCGTGAAGAAGCCCAGGTTGGGGTGAGGGGAGAGCAGGCAGGAACATGAGTCAGGAGGCTGAGGCAGCGAAAGCATGGCTACTCAGTGGCTGGAAGCGGTGGCATTGGGCTGTAGATGCCTAGAAGTCCAGGAGGGCACAGCTTGGTGATGAATTGGCTGTGGGGGATGTTGGGGAGAGATGATGACCAGCTTTCTGGCATGGGTTTCCTGATAGAGGTTGGTGCCTTGGGGCACCTGGGTGGCTCAGTCAGTTAAGCATCTGCCTTCACCTCTGATCCTAGGGTCCTGGGATGGAGCCCTGCATCAGGCTCTCTGCTCAGTGGGGAGCCTCTTTCTCCTTCTCTCTCTGCCCCGCCCCAGTGCTTGCATATGCGCGCCCTCTCTCTCAAATAAATAAATAAAATCTTAAAAAAAAAAAAAAAAGAATGAGGTGCCTTAGCAGGGTGGAGAGTTCCAGGGAAGGACAGGTTTGCCGGAGAAAAAGATGAATTCTGTTTGTGGCCCACTGAGTTCGAGGTGCCTAGTAGACAGTCAAGAGGAAATGTCCTGTAGATGGTTGGATTTGGGGTCTGGAGGTCTGGTGGCAGGTCCTGGTGGGAGTGTTCGGAGTCCTCAGTTTTGGGATGGTGAAAAATGCCAGATGGGTGGGTTGACCAAGAGGGAATGTGGAGTGAGAAGGATTTTGCAAGGAGAGCACCCTTAGGGGAAAGCTGAAGGTCTGTGAAAAAAGGCCTTATGGAGGGGGTGACATTTGGACCCCACCTTGAGGAAAGGCCAGACTTTGGGCCTGTGTAGAGGAAGGCAGGCATGCTAGATGGTGAAGGCCGTGATGCCAGAGTACAGTGTTCTAGCACGTCCCAGAGGACTTCATACTGTGCTGTCCTCCAAGGCGTGCTGGCTGATGGTTTGGGTGCCCGTTTATGCTTCTTCCTCTTAGCACCCCGACCCCAGGCAAAGGCAGTGGAAGGTACGGGGGTCCTCTTACACTGTCCCTTGTTTCTCTGCCTTTAGAGCCTTGGGGAGCATTGCCTCTCCTAGGAGCCCCTTGAAGGACACGCCTTAGATGCAGGAAGACGTTGAACGAGGACAGCCTAGCTGAAGCGAGGTATCCTGGACCGACCATGGCCGTGGCCCTAGAACCCCAGACCCAGGCCTCTCACCAGCCAGAGCCTGAAGAACTCCTGATTGTGAAACTGGAGGGGGACTCGTGGAGATCAGAATCCAAACTCCGGCAGGAGGACCATGTCCCTGTCCCTGGCCCCGAAGCCTCTCGCCAGCGCTTCAGGCAGTTCCGGTACAGGGATGCGGCGGGACCCCACGAAGCCTTCAGCCAGCTCTGGGCGCTCTGCTGTCACTGGCTGCGGCCAGAGATCCGCCTCAAAGAGCAGATCCTGGAGCTGCTGGTGCTGGAGCAGTTCCTGACGATCTTACCCAGGGAGGTCCAGGCCTGGGTGCAGGAGCGCCACCCTGAGAGTGGCGAGGAGGCCGTGGCCCTCGTGGAGGATTGGCACCGAGAGGTCCAGGCTGCGGGCCAGAGGGTGAGGCAAACAGTCTGTTCTCCAAGGAGCGGGTCAGGCAAGGCGGCGGGGCTGTGACTAGCTTGATAATTGCCAAAGGCAGTGGTAATAATTGTGATTGTTGTTGGTCCTGAGCAGCCGATACTTACTGAGCACTGCTGTGTACCCGACACCGTTCTCAGTGCTTTCCATGTATTAACTCATCTAATCCTGTCAATGGTTTAATGAGATCGGTACTGTTACCCTGATTTTACCCATGAGGGAACTGAGGCAGAGGACAGATAGGTGGTTGGCCTGAGGTCTCAGAGCCCCAGACAGCAGAGCCAGAATGTGTGGCAGCCTGACGCTGAAGCCCACATTCAGAACCACTGCCCAGATTGCCTCCCAGGACCGTATTCACAGTGTGGGCGATTTGTGTTACGTTTCACATGGGATGAAATCTTGAGGTGCTTACAGCAGAAATCTGGGTGGGCAGAGGTAGCATTATTATCCTCGTCGTGTAGATGAAACTAAGGCCCCCAAATTCAGGTGGCTTGCAGAGCTCAGTCAGTCGAACCAGAGCCTAAACGTATATTCTCGGGTTCCAAGTTCGATGTTCTTTCTGCCACATGACAGACATGACAGGTGCCTCATCTGCAAACCACGGGAATTAAAATACCTTTTAGGCATGAGGCTCAAATAGGTCAGTAACTGACATTTCCTGAGCACTCACTGTGTGTCAGACCCCACTCTCCACTTTCTCTGCGTATTGCTCCTCTAATCAGCACAGCAGCCCGAGAAGGTAGGTGCTGTTCTGCCGCCATTTTTCAGCTGTGTAAACCGAGGCTCAAAGAGGTAAGTAACTTGTCTAGATTTCTATAACTAAGTGGTAGAGCCGAGATAAGGGAAGTGAAAGCCTTGTGAATTTAACATTCACAGTTTCAACAATTTGCAAGAGACTGAAGGCCTGTGGTGTCATTTTACAATTTTTCTCTGGTACTACTTTTTTATTTTTTTGAATCCTGCTTTTGGAGCTGGCATGTGTAGAACAAAGTCCTTGAGCCGGCTGCGGACTGAGCTAGCCGCCCAGAACCTTCATCTCGATGTAACCCTGTTGTTTCCCCTTGTCACGTGGTTATTGTGATGTTATAGTTAATCCCATTTTGTTGGGGGAAATTATAGGTTTGAGAATATCCCTTGCAAATGGCAGGGGTTTTCTGTAAAAGGTAAAGCTTTGGACAGATGTGAGAGAGGAAGAGAGGTTTGTGATCTGTGAGTTAGCTTTTTGGACTCCTTTGCAAACCCTTTGAAGACACAGAAAGCGTCCTATTTGAAGTTACAGGACTAAGTATGAGAGAATGTACCTTATTTGAATTTACCAGCCCACCCTCCCATATTCTTTCTTGTAAAGAAAGCAGCTGTACCTCTTAAGTGGCAGTGAGAAAACAAATGGAAGTCTCAGGACTTCAGAGCTGAAGGATGAAGACCTTGAGACCCAGAGAGAGAATTGATTTAAATCAGGGTCTTTATGACTCTTTATCTGTAAAATGAGGGGGTTGGACTAGACCAAAAGTTGTCAAATTATACCCCTGTGAGCTGAGCCGAGATTGAACTGCTTCTAAAATTGGGAAAAGAAAAAAAGGTAATGGAACGTTCTTTATGATGTGACTTTTATTTTTCTGTTTGAACTTTCTCCCCGCTCCTGAGTACTTACAAATGTCCAAACAAACGTATAAATGGCAAAGGAGCTCCCTGCCCCCACAGACCTTACAACTTGTGACTACATTGCGGCGTACCTGACTCGGTTACATTTTCCACAAGGGAAATTTTTCCAAGACCTTCCAGCTAACTAGGTCCCGTGGAGTGAATTGCTGGGAAAAGGCGGTGCTCTGGGCAACGTCCTCCAAGATCTTTTCCTTAAAGAGACATTTCAGCTCTGCTATTGGGTGGGTTTTGCCTTGTTGATTCTGTGGTCACCTCTTCCAGAACCCCTCTCCCCATCAGGTGCATCGTCATTTAAAATAAAAAATATATATATAGACTTTATTTTTTTAGAGCAGTTTTAGGTTCACAGCCAAACTGAGCAGAAAGTGCCCAGATTTCTCACACGCCCCCGTTCCCCCAGCCCACCGGGACATCGTTCCCCGCCAGAGTGCCGCACCTGCTGTGATCGGTGAACTTACACGGACACGTCACTATCACCCAAAGTCTGTAGCTTACATTGGATATCACTATTGGGGGTGGACGTTCTGTGGATTTTGACAAATGTATAACAACATGTATCCACCAGTATAGTATCATACGAGGTAGTTTCACTGCCCTGAAAATCCTCTGTGTTCTGCGTATTTATCCTTCCTTCCCCAACCCCCGGCAACCACTGATTTTTCTACTGTCTTCATAGTTTTGCCTTTTCCAAGGTGTCATATAGTTGGGATCATACAGGATGTATGTAGCCTTTTCAGATTGGCTTCTTTCACTTAATGGTATGCATTTAAAATTCCTCCGTGTGTCTTCCTGGCCTGATAGCTCATTTCTTTTTAGCACAGTAATATTCCATTGTCTGAATGCCCAGCAGTCTGTTCATCTACCGAAGGGCATGCTTCTGAGTTTTGGCAATTAGGAGTAAAACTACTATAAACATCCATGTGTAGGCTTTTGTGCGGTGCACAGGCATTTTTGAGGGATTCTTTATTGATCCCTACCCCAGCCACTTTTTCCTTCTCCTTGTCACTTGAATCTCTTCTTTTTTGCGTCTACAGTTGCCATCTGTGAAATCAGAATCTTTGCTTAGGTGTGTCAGTAGTTGGAGGAGCTGGGGCTACGAGGGAGGATTGTTATGGGGTCTAGTCACACAATTTCTCTGTAGATTGTAAGATTGTAGCTGTAACAAAAAGAGGCTGATTTGTTTTTTACTTAAACAATCATGGAGGAAGGTTGTGAGCAGATGTTTTCTCCTGTGAACCACACAGGACATTGGTGGATGGCCTCATCTGGAATGGCTTTTTAGGCTCAGGGCCCATTCCTGTATATCTTAAGGATAAACATCCCTATCTTTGGGAGAAGATTGGAGTTTTCAGATCAGTCAAAGATGTTTGGAGTTACAGGTTTGTTTCAGACTCAGTAAGTCGATGAAGGTGGATATTATTATTTTGAATCAAAAATAAGGTTCAGAGCAATGTATATAACTGCTGTGTTTTATATAGAAATAGGGAAGAAAGAAGAGTCTGTATTCATAGATGCTTGTATATAAAGAAACTGACACGATGCAGAGCAGTGGTTTCTTGTGGGGAGGAGTGGGGAGAAGGAAGATACTGGGTAGATGGGATGGGTATGGGGCTGGGAACGGGCTATTTTCAGTAACTAGACCTTCATGGTTTCTATTTCTGAACCACCTGAGTTTTGAAAATACCTACTGAAAACATTGAAACACATTTTTTGAAGTTTCTATAAGGCAACGAGAGTGTTACATTGTTGAGGTTTTAGGGCCGGGAAATAACATCTCCACCTCCATCTCTGAACTTGGAACCAACGGACAGATAAGATATGAGCTTTATGATAATGCTGAGTTGGGTACTATCCTCTCTATGATTTTTCCCTCTTATTTTATATACGTGCTCTGTGTCTCTGGGTGCTTTTCTGCCTGAACTTCTGCACTGAAATCGAAATTGCCACTTCTGTTTTTCCTTTGAGTTACAGTGCCTTGTCTCTGCTTCTCCTTCTGTTTGAAGAGTAGAGGGGCCTCTCTCAAACAGTGCATACTTTCATTCCATTTTAAAATTCCATCTGTAAAAAAAAAAAAAATTCCATCTGTAGTTGTTTGCCTCTCCCTTCTCTTATATTTATTTTTGAATTTTCTTTGCCTTGCAGCAGGCATATTTAGGCAATTATATTTAGAGTTATTGTTATATCTGTTTTTATCTTTTGACGGATACCTGGTTAACTTTTATCTTTGCTTGATACCTTAAAAATGAAATCTCCTGTTTTCGATGTTTAGAGTTTATGTTTTAATGTCATAAAATCATGTGACATGATTTATCTCTGTGATTCAGGAAGGTTTGGAACAGTAGCAGCCTCACTGAGACACTCATGCGGTCCCCCCCGTTGAACAAAATAGTAGTCATTTGATGGCATCAGTGCTGGTCTGTTTACTAATGTCAGTCTCATGGCTTTGTTGTCATACTTTGAGTCATCCTTGGATCTTTAAAAGGGCCTGTGAACCTCTGGACCACAGCTGTACTCAAAAGAGCATTCCCTGCCCTAGCAACATTGGTCTTATTGAACTGACGATTGGGAATTTTGGCCCTCTGTGTGTAGGAACTGGACTTGTGTGCAGAAGAGGCCAGGTCCTTAAAGGCAATGCAGGAATCTCAGCCTCGTCAGCTGCAGCCGGCGAATCACTGGCCCGAGGCACAGCGCCAGAAGCAGTGGGTGAAGAATTCATGCCCTGACCTTCCCAAGCATCTAGACGCCAAGATGGTGCCACAGCCCTTGAAGGAGAGTGGTGAGTACGGAGAATCAGGGAACCCCGGGGAAGAGAGGAGAAGATTAGAGGGAGTAAGGAAGGGCGTACGGGGAGGAGGGATGTGAGGAATTGAAGGCACGGGGAGGAGTAGTGTCTGATGGGCGCGCTGAGAGGGAAGGTGGGTGAGCATGGTGCAAGGAGGGAAGCTCCCGGCAATGTCGGCGCGCCCCCCTGAGCCGAGTCATGTGGCACGTCCAGGTCGGCTTGGGGTCAGGTGGTGATCATAGAGGAGTCTGAGCTGGGATCTTTCACATGGCCCATCTCTCAGGGTGGCTTCGAAGCCAGACGCTCCTGAAGGGAAGTAAAAGGGGGAAATCTGCCCTGGCTGGTCGGGTGGTCTCAGTTTGATGCAACGTGGCCCTTGGAAAGCTGGACCTGGGAGGGAGTGGCTCCTGGGAACCAGAGCTTGGGTTTCAGAGACTGTTCCTTCTCCTCAGCTGTCCTCACTCCCCGAGTCCCTGCTGTCCCGAAGATGGGGAGTGTTGGAGATTGGGAGGCAACAGCCGAGTCCCAGGTAAGCTGCTGTTTGTCCTTCCTTTCCTGTCCTGGCTTCTCTTAGGCCTGTGTCCCTGCGTCCCTCTTCTCTCTCCATGGCTTGCCCTCGGCAGGAGGGCGTGTGTTGGAGGGTGTTAGCCTCTACCCCCGGCCCCCATCTGCTGGGCCTCTCCTTAGTCAAGCTGCTTCTTACAGCGATGATCTCACACATGGTATCCCTGTGTCTGTGACCTTTCCTGGGGCCTGCTAGGGTTCCCAGGCTGGTTTCAGTTGTGGTCCTTGTCTCGTACCTCTCACAGGAAGCCCTGGACCCTGGCAAACACACTGAGAAGGAGTTCTGCAAGGACCCCCCAGGAGACGGGTGTGGGAGCGGCGTGCCCCTAGGTAAGGAAATAGTGCCCTCCTAGGAAGCTCTTGTCTGGTTTCTGGTACACTCAGGTCCCGAAGAATGTTTCATCTCTCCCTTAAGACTCCTAGCTCTGGGAAGTCTGGCACTTGAGAGACAGGAAGAAGACAGCTCTCTGTGGCCAGCACTGGTGGCAGGAAGGGAGCGGGGGGCGGGGTCTGCCTGCATGGAGGCTGGCGGCTGGCTTCTGAGAGCCTGCCCTCCCGGGGCTCATTTCCTCAGTTTGTTCACCACGGCGGTCCTAGGCTGTCTCAGGAACCCAGTCCTGTCAGCAGCAAACAGGGTCCATGTCTCGTGGGCAGACTCCAGTGAGCTGAGCCCATGAGACTGATGCACTAAACCACAGTGAGGAGCCCGCATGGCCGGCCTGTCTCTGGGCGCGTCTCCACAAAACGGAACCATTTCCCCGCGGAACCTGGGGTCAGTGTGAGGCGTTAGACACAAGAGGGGGATAAAGTGGAAGACAGTGCTAGCTGTGACTCCTAGGGGAGTTAAGGGGAGACACGGGAAGTTGTTGGCACCTTTCTTTATAGTAGAACTCCTTTTTTAGATAAACCATGATATCTGGGTAAGATAGTGTTCACAGCAAACTTTGGGAAATGCTGAACCAAATAAGGCTAAAATTTCTTGCAGCTCTCAGCTCTTTCTGATCTGGTTTTCTTCAAATATTTATTTTAATTAAAGGCTTCCTGTTTTGTTAGGGCTGGGAGCTGTTGGGCCAGCAGTCCTTTACACATAGCTGCTGAGTATTTAAAAAAATAAGGAAACATACTTTCTCACGTTTTTGGAAGTCGAGCGGAGGGCACGCTCCAGCCCTGGTACAGAGTGTCTCAGCAGTGTCATGGCAGACGGAGGGCCTTCCTCTCTGTTCTGCCGTCCTCAGTGTCTGCCTCGCACTAGAGCTGTCATGTGTCAAATCAGAAGATAGAGGCCAATGTCAGTTGGGCTCACAAGTTTCCTAGCAAGAGACACACACATGCACGCACACGCATGTGCACACACAAAACATAAACACACGGCGAATGAGTAAGAGAGAGGAAAACCTTTTCTCCAACCATTAAATTCATTCTGGTCGGGCCAGTTTAGGCCACGTGCCCATTTGTGGACCAGTAACACTCATTCTTTGTGTGATGTATTTCATAACTACAACAAAGAAAGCAAGTGAACAAAGCAAACAGGTCAGTTAGCATGGGGAATTGGCATGGGAATTTCTCATTAGCCTCATGCAGGGAAATGATTTCTTTTAGGGGCATTTTGGACAAACACTCTGCTTAGTGTGTCATTTCTACTTAATCATTTCTCTTCTTTCTTAGGAGTTCCAGTTTCAAAACCAAGTATCAACTGCCAGCAAGAGCAAAGACCCGAACTTTGGTGTCCAAGCTTTATAAATTCCGGAAAAAGGAACATTGCAGATTATAACCCAGGTAATGAGCAAACAAGACCAGCTCAGGCATTGGCCTGGAGAGACTCAAAGGCCTGGGAGGAACCATACCAGTGGGACACAGAGGACATGAAGGTGTCGGGTGTGCACTGGGGTTACGAGGAGACCAAGACTTTTCTGGCAATTTTGAGTGAGTCTCCTTTCTCTGAAAAGCTCCGGACTTGTCACCAGAACCGCCAGGTGTACCGGGCCATTGCAGAGCGGCTGAGGGCCCGGGGCTTCCTGCGGACCCTGGAGCAGTGTCGCTACAGGGTCAAAAACCTCCTACGGAATTACCGGAAGGCCAAGAGCAGCCACCCACCAGGGACGTGCCCCTTCTATGAGGAGCTGGAGGCCCTGGTGAGGGCACGGACGGCCATCAGAGCCACAGACGGCCCAGGAGAGGCTGTGGCACTCCCCAGGCTGGGGGATAGCGATGCAGAGATGGATGGGCAGGAGGAAGGGGGCTGGGAGCCTGAGGAAACGGCAGAAGACTGTGATGGTGATGACCTGGCCCCTGATGAGTCCATCCGGGAGCCCAGGATCCCAGGGGGCCCAACTCTGTTCCAGAGTCGTATTGGTAAGAACAAGGGGTGTTGTGGATCCAGATTCCAACACTCCTGCCAGCCCAACCTCTGTTCCCTGAGTTCAGGGCATAGACTGGATTGCAAGTCTAGATCAATGCCCCTGGAGTAAGGGGTTAAGTTCCTTTGGTTGTCCTTAAACTCCTACTCTTGCCTCCTATGATCAGTTTCCTAGAATGAGTTTTAGCTATGGAAGCAAACTTTTGAGACCTTAAGGAACCCTAAAGGGGTAATTCAGTATCAGTTGACCTTTGAACAATGTAGGGGTTAGGGTACCGATCCTCTGCTCTGTCGAAAATACACATATAACTTTTGATTCCCCCCCAAATTTAACTACTAATAGCGCGTGCTGTGGATCACAAGCCTTACCAGTATTGTAAATCATACATATTTTATATATGTATTATATGCTCTATTCTTACAATAAAGTAAGCTAGACAAAAGTTATTAAAATCATAAGGAAGAGAAAATATATTTATAGTGCTGTACTGTACATAAAAAACCAAGTCTGTGTATTAGTAAATCCTTGCAGCTCAAACCTGTGTTGTTCAAGGGTTAGCTGTATTTGCCAGAGTATGTCACCAGGAGGATGGGGAGGGTTGTTGTGTTACATGAATGAACTTTTAATTTTAATGTGTAATGAGCACATCAACCTGTGGTTACAGACAGTAACTTTAGGTAAAGAAAGATACAGAGTGAGATATTTAACATGTAACAGAAGTCATGATGGTAAGAGTTGAACACATGACATTTGGGAAACAATCATTGTGTAAGTGGAAACACAGAAGTCCAAGAGATGAAATGTGTTATCTAAAGATACACAGTGAGGTAGGGGCAGGGCAGAACCCAGAGCTCCTGCCTCCAGTTTTATGTGGTTTTTTTCCCCCTCCACCATGCTGCCCACCTGGGCTGCATCATTTACCCACAGAGGACCTGAGAACAGACAACCCCCTTTTCAGTCCTCCACAAAAGGAAAGGGCATCCTTGGTTGGATGCTATTGCAAGATTATTTGAAGGTCCAGTTATGTCTAGGGATTCTCAGTTCCCATGTTTGTTAAGAGGAAAGTTCATAAAATAAATAGAGGATGTGTATGGGATGGATGTAGAGAAAGTATCTTGGATCCCAGCTTCAGGCCTTTCCCTATACCAGTCAACTGAAGCCAGAGGAGTTGGGGTCACCTGGTATAACGTGGCCACCTAAGTCCTCTTCAGCTAAGACTCAAGAGTTAATGGAAATTCTTAGAAGGGGTGGGGTGGAGTGGGAGGCCGTGGCATACCTCTGAGAAGCAAGGGTATAGTCTTTGCTAGGGCCCTGGATGCCTGGAAGATTTCTGAGGGTCCTGTGTTTGTTCTAGGCATTTGGAAGGGGGGCAGGGGACTGTGAATCCTGATGACCTAGGCACGTTTCATTATGCCTCACAGTTCTGAACTCTTCACTCCTGACAGCAGGTGTGCACTGGGGCTATGAGGAGACCAAGGCCTTCCTGACCATTCTTAGTGAGTCCCCATTCTCTGAAAAGCTTCGCACCTGTCACCAGAACAGCCAGGTATACCGGGCCATTGCAGAGCGGCTGTGTGCACAGGGCTTCCTGCGGACCCTGGAACAGTGTCGCTACAGATTCAAAAACCTCCTTCGAAGCTACCGGAAAGCCAAGAGCAGCCACCCACCAGGGACGTGCCCCTTCTATGAGGAACTGGATTCCCTGATGAGGGCGCGGACTGCGTTCAGAGCCATGGGAACCTTCAGGGAGGCAGCAGATCTCCCTAGGTCGGGGCACAACAGTACTGAGGCTGGTGACCAGCAGGCCTGGGATGAGATGGCAGATGAAGATGCCATCAAATCTTTAGCCTCATGTCCTAATATCCCAGATACCGGTAAGTGGGGAGTAATTTGATGCCCACAAAATCCAGAAGCTTGCAGGGAGAACAAGGGGGCCAGCTCATTTCTTGTTTGTCTCTGTAGTATAAGAGAGAATGGAAATGAATAGGAAAAGCATTTGTGATTTGCTCAGATGATTCAGTATCTAGCTTTGTGTAATCCCCCAAATGAGATAGGCAGTCAGGTCTTAATTTTACTGGGATTTAACTGGGAAAATATAGAGTTTATTCATTTTCCCATGATGTGGGCTATTTGTAATGTGCTAGAAGAAGGAGGTGTTCATTATTGAGTAGAGGGATGGGAGAGTTGGGCAGAGACTGACTAGCTGGCCGTGTGGCCTGGGCCTCATGACTCTGTCAGTGGGGTCACCATGTTCCAGGCTCCACACTCTGCTTTGCCCTTCAGAAATTTACAAATGCCCCAAAACTTGATTAGTTTCATGTTAGTTGCATTATAAGATATGAACAGAAAATATGTGATAAAATTCACGTTAAATTCACAAACACAAGGTCCATAGATAGATGTTAACTAATGAATGAAGGAAAACTGAATTTCTGTCTATTTCAGGGTTTGAGATGAGGCCTAAGGATGAAGACCAGATTTCAGAGCAGGACATTTTTGAGGATTTGCCTGGAGCCTTATCAAAATGCACTAGAGAGGATGTTTGCCACCCTCCCGACTGGGGGCAAGACAGTGAAAATGAAGAGGAAGGTGAAGGGCAGTGGGGAAACACCGAGGAGCAGTGGGAAGAATGTTCTTCTGAAGAGGACTTAGAAAAACTTATCGACCATCAAGGCCTGTACCTGGCAGAGAAACCCTACAAGTGCAATACATGTGTGAAAAGCTTCAGTCGGAGCTCCCACTTCATTGCCCACCAGCGGATCCACACAGGTGAGAAGCCCTACAAATGCCTTGAATGTGGGAAAAGCTTTAGTGATCGCTCCAACCTCAATACCCATCAGAGAATCCACACTGGGGAGAAGCCCTACAAATGCCTCGAATGTGGGAAAAGCTTTAGTGATCACTCCAATCTTGTCACCCACCAGAGAATCCACACAGGCGAAAAGCCCTATAAGTGTGGGGAATGTTGGAAAAGTTTCAACCAGAGCTCAAACCTCCTGAAACATCAGAGAATCCACTTGGGAGGCCATCCTGACCAATACAGTGAGCCTGGGGAAAACTTGGGCCTAAGCTTATCCTTCAGCGCTCACTGCAGGAACGCTGCAGAAGAGACGTCTCTTGAACAGCCTCAGAGCACCAGTAAGAACTTGAATTCTGGCCCACACAGCACCAACTCAGGGGAAAAGCTCTACCAGTGTTCTGACTGTGGGAGAACCTTCTCGAAGAGCTCTGCCCTCATCAGTCACCAAAGAATCCATACGGGAGAGAAACCGTATGAATGTGCCGAATGTGGGAAAAGCTTCAGTAAGAGCTCCACGCTGGCTAACCACCAGCGAACCCACACGGGGGAGAAGCCGTACAAGTGTGTGGACTGTGGGAAGAGCTTCAGTGAGCGCTCCAAGCTCGTCACACACCAGAGAGTGCACACAGGAGAGAAGCCCTACAAATGCCTTGAGTGTGGGAAGTTCTTCCGTGATCGTTCCAACCTCATCACTCATCAGCGGATTCACACAGGAGAGAAGCCTTACAAGTGCAGAGAGTGTGGGAAGTGTTTTAACCAGAGCTCTAGTCTGATCATTCACCAGAGGATCCACACTGGGGAGAAACCCTACAAGTGCCTGGAGTGTGGGAAGGACTTCAACAATAGCTCCCACTTCAGTGCCCACCGGAGAACTCACATGGGAGGGAAAGCATCTTAGGAGACCCCCCCCACCCTTGCCATAGCAAAAGAGAGAAATGTATATTTAACTCTTCTCAGATCGTAAGATATATGCTAGAAACTTACCCAGTTTTTAAGCTTGGTGTATACCCAGGAAAGCTGTCTTGGTATGATCCAGATTATTTGGAAGTGAATTACAAATGCAAAGGATCCAGATTTGAAGGCACTTTCTTTTCTAAATTTTTAAAAATTTTTAATGTTTTAATTTTAAAAATTTTTAATTTTAAAAATTTTAATTCTTAAATTCAATTTCGTTAACATACACTGTAGTATTTGTTTCAGGGGTGGAATTTAGTGATTCATCAGTTGCATATAACACCCAGTGCTCTTTCTATTAAGTGCCCTCCTTCATGCCCATCACGCAGTTACCCCAGCCTCCAGCAACCCTCAGTTTGTTGCCTGATGTTAAGAGTCTTTTATGGTTTGAAGGCACTTTTGTTAAGTGTAATTTGTTTTTCTCCTGTAAACCGCCCCCCATGCGGTCCTCAGGCTGTCTTTACATTTGTTGTCTTGGGAGGACTTTATCAGTGTTCGAGCCAGACTGATAACGTAGGGGATTAGAGGGAAATCCATGGTCCTGAGCAGAGATTCCAGACCTCACTGTGCCTTTACACTGTCCCCAGGTACACACGGTGCATTGGCAAATTCTCATACATGGCAGGTTTCAGCTGGGGCGTATCCATATAGAAGAACTTTGAGACTGGGAAAGCAATCCGTGGTTTGAAGCAGACCACCATGACCTCAGCAAAGAGGAGGAATGTCAGTGACATCATCACTAAATATTAAAAATAGCAAAAGTAGCCAGTATTTATTGAGAATTTGCTCTTTGGCAGGCTCTGTGCTAAGCACTTTGTACACATCCTCTCACTCCTCATGGCAGCCTTGGGAGGAAGGCACTGATTTCCCCATTTCCCGGAGGAGAAACTGAGGCTTGGGAAAACTAAGTAACCTGCTTGGGTGGCATGTCTGAAGATGGCAGTGGCAGACTTTGTCCAGATCTGTCTGTCTCTGGAGCCTGAGGTGCCCCTGACCATTGCACTGAGTCCCCTTCTGCCATAGCGCGGGTAACTCAGACCCCAAAGCACTTTGTGGGCCAAGTTTCCTACTAAAATCCCGTTAGGAATTCTCCTTTTAGCAAATTCAGAAACCAGGAATCCCTAAACGTGAAAGGGTCTGGATGGCCTGAATTGGCGATGCTTGGAGCAAGGCTGAGCTAGGCTTAAAGTGCTTGACGTGGATTCCCTTCTTTGCAACAGTATGGGGGAGAGATACAGGGCTTGAGACTGGGGAGAACAGGCAGCCACCGTGTACCTCTTCCCATGGGATACAGCTTCCACGAAGAAAATGGGGTTTACGAATTGTCCCCTTTCTCGAGGAGTCTGTCCTCTTTGAGTTAGACTTGGCTGACTTGAAAATGTTAAACCTTAAAGAAACTCAGGCCTGTGTTTTCGTCTCCACAGCCCTTTTCCTCTTGGTGGTAGCTGAGCAGAGGGTAGGTGGGAAGAATTGCCGTGCCTGCTGAGAGGGCTTTGACCACTGCCCTGCATCTGTGTGTGGCACAGTTTTATCCTGAACCAGCTTGTGCCAGGCCTGCCCGGTGCTTCCTGAATGTTGGCCCTCCCACAAAGACCAGTCAGAAGGGCTCACCCACGATGGTTTTCTAATTTGCATACTTCGGCCTTCAGAGTTTCTCCTTAGGGGGTTTTAAAAATATTGACCATGGTCTTTGGTTTCCAGAGGATTTTAAAAGAAAATCCTTGTCCTGACATCTCTGCTTGTGACTTCGAGAGGCCATCATGCCCTGGGTATTTCATGGACTTGGGAAGTACCTAGCAGATGGTGGAAGTGATGGGAAGAGTGGAAGTTTCTATGCACACACGAGGGAGCCATCGGACAGTTCTGCACTCCCACAGAGTGAGATCACTCCTCCAGCCCTTCCTCTGCTCCCTGAGAACCAGCTCACCCGGGGCTACTGCCTGGCAACTCCTTCCCCGTTTAACTCTCCTGGCTCACATGGTCTCTGAGGGGCAGGGTCGTGGGTGAGCCTTGGGTTGGCACCAGCAGGTATCTGCAGCAACAAGATGAGGCACAGGGAGCCGTGTGAGCTGCGGGGAAGGGAGTTCCGGGCAGGGGCATGGTGGTGTGACAGCAGGATTCGGGTGTGGATGGGCGCCAGAGCAGCTTAGGACCGACAGCGTGTAAAGTGAGAGGTGGGCAGTGGTGCGAGCTGAGATGGGAGGGTGCGGGGGCAGCTTCCCGGACCTCATGTCTGAGTGGAGTTTGACATCAGGCCGTGGGTGACATGGACACGTGTGGTTTGAGTGGAGCTTGGACATCAGGCCGCGGATGACATGGGCGCGTGTGGTCTGAGTGGAGCTTGGCTGTGCTGCGTTAGGGACGCTACTGCAATTTTCCAGTTAAACATGAGGATCTGAACTGGAGCAGTGGGTACCCGGAAGGGGAGCGGATGGATCTGAGCCGTTTCAGAGGCAGCGTTGGGGACAGCAGAGGAGAGCTAGATGCCTTGGGTGATGGGTGGGTCATGTCACCAGAACTGGGAACACAAGGAGGAGATGCAGGAGGGCAGAAGATGATGAAGTTAGCTCGGGACATTGGAACTTAAGGTGCCTGAGGGACACCTGAGGGGCACTGCAGCAGGCATTTGGATGTGTGGCCTGAAGCTAGGGGACAGCTCAGGACCAGGGAGTCACCTGCGTGTGTGGGAGTTAAACCACAGATAAGAGAGTATGTTCAAGTCCTGGAAGTACCGGGCCCAGGACAGGACTTGGGATTCACCAAAGGGAGAGCAAGACGCTCCTCCAGGGAGCTCTAGACCGCTCTCCACTCCCATCCCCCACCCCTGCGCACTCCTGTCGTCTTTTGGACACTTCCCATTGTTGCTGATGCCTGAATTCTCAGTGCAGTCCCAAGTCTTCTGGAACCTTCACTGTGGAAGCCAAGCTGTGCGCTCTCCCTCGAGTGTCACCAGCACCCCCGTTCTTGGAGGTGGGCCAGGGTCTCATGCTTCCAGTGAACGCTTGGATAGTCGTTACCCCCCGGTCCTTTGGCGGACCAGCGGGCTCAGCCTGAGAGCACAGGCGGCGTGGGCTCTCCTCCCTGCATCACTGACATTTTGGAGGAAGTCCTTGTTCAGGTGGCTCCTGTGTCTGGGTCCTGCCCGCCACCCCTGCTTTGCTGGGCCACCCAGACTTCCTCCAGCAGGTCTTTGCTGCTCCAGTAAATGGACACCCTGAGCTTTGTGAGCACGAGTCTGCCCTTGAGAAGCAGATTCACTCTGTAGCCTGGGCCTCAGGCTGTGCCCCGCAGGACACACCCTGGTGAAGGGCAACCGAGGCAACAATTGCAACCGTGGCTTGTGAGCTGCGCCTTCTTTCTTGAGCTCTGCACCCTCCCTCAAGAAGGGCCGAGGCTCTTCTGAGGTGACAGACAGACACTGAGAGGCTTTCCCCTCCACAGAATCTTCGGGAGGCAGCAGACCCAAGGGTGAGGGCAGGGAGTGGGGCTGAGGGTGCCTTTAGGTACCTGCTCTCTTTAGCCTTGACTCCAGCGGTCATCTCCCGGAAGAGGCAGAGCGCTAAGGAGGCCCCTGTTCTCAGCGTGGGTCTGTCCTCCCACATCTCAAGGCCGACAGCTCCTTTGGTCTAAGAGTCACCTAGTAAAGCCAGGAGCGTCAGAATGGTCAAGGGCAGGATCCAGTTAAACAACTTTGCCCAAACACACGGAACAGGCTGAATGAGGATTTTCTAATCCCAGTTTGTGCGGGATTCTCTTGGGTTGTGCGGATGATTCTGATCCTGGCTGCCATCCGCCTTCACATAACACTTCCTGAGGTCACATTTGTTTTTCACATTTTCATTGTTGGAAAATGCCCCATAATTACGCCATCTAGAGGGTGAGGTCCCCACAAAGGAACAGTGAGAAAACACATGGACCTGCAAGGCTGGTTCGAGATCACGTGAACCTAAGCAGGAGAGGATCCACAGGCAATGGCTAGCAGAGCCATTGTCCCTAGAATCTCTGGAGAGTCACCGGAGCTCAGAGAGCCCCACTGTGGTGCCAGGTGACAATTGGGACACAAAGGGGAAAGGACTCCTTCCTTCATTAGAACATGGCTTGGCTTCCGTACTTTGGGGGAATTCACAGGGCACAGAGGAGCTTCTGTATATTTAGAGGAGTGGAAATGAGCGTGAGGGCCAAGGGCGGGGGTGGGGTAGGGACGGGGGCAGGTGCGGTGGCGGTGGTGGTGGTGGTGGTGACCTGCTGCTCTGAAACCCTCCTGGCACACTTCATTGGGAAGGCTGGTGGGCAGGGCAGGAAAAGGCCTACCCCCTCTAGACAGCATCTGGTAAGGAAAGGCTCGTTCCTGACCATACATGTGGCCCCCGACGCAACCCTATTCCTGAAGTGGCCCGGAAGTAGATGGAGGAGGTGGGACTAGCCAGGGGCGGGGTTAGGCTAAGTCCTTCTGGCACACCCTGGGCCTGCTCTCTCCAGGGACTCCTTTGAGCAACTAATATCTTATGAAAACCAGGCACTTGGGATCGATCTGAGCGACTCGGAAATAAAAATGGAATGAAGTATGGCCACCAGGAGGCTCAGAGGTTCAAGATCCAATTCTAAAAACCAAGCAGGCCTTTTTGGTTCACAGTTTGCTCATCAGTGCCTGACTTAACTTTGTCTGGCTTTGTTTTCACTTCCTTATCCTTTATTATTTTCATTTTGTTTCATTTTCGTATTTTCCATTTTTGGTGATTATTTCATGTTTTGGCTAGTTAAATCCTATTTTGGGATGAAGTGGCCTGATAAATTAATAAATTATACTGATTAAACTGAAAGAAAAAACAAACTTGGGCTCTTCTGGCATCTCTCTTGTGACCCTCAAAGCGTGGAGGACAGGGCGAGGGGAATCGGGATCCACAATGAGGCTGCGTGATCTCACGGCCCTTGTGCTGGGCTGACATCTTTCTTTCACTGTTCTCCCAAGGTTCTTCACACACTGGGGGATGTACAAACTCAGGAGTCATTGACTTTTGTCCATAACAGGTGGCTCCTTTGTCTGCGGGCCTCCTCTATACACCTGCTTACATTTTCCCCTGGGATCTCTGTGCTGGGAACTCTGAAGCACCTGGGGCCCAAATAACACAAGGATGAGTATGGATGAAAAGACTTTTTTTTTTTTAAGATTTTATTTATTTGAGAGAG